CCTCCAGTGCAAGACTATATTCAAAAACGGTCCCTGGAGCCCAATAAAGCGAATCTTAGGCTACTAGTACCGAATCGGATTCAGAGTGCTAATTTCCATTAGGAAAATATGGGAATTAAACTACGTACGACCCACCAGTAACGAATGCGGAGCGCGTTCTTAGTTTTGGGATCAAGCTCCTGTCTGGTACGTATCTATAGGATGGTTTTTTCAGCTTCTTCACACAACTGTGCTCTGATTTATTCGGCTGGAAGATAGATTACTCAGCGGAAATGAATCGACGAGCTACGCTTAATGTGAATAATCGCTACGGTGGCCGATACAAGTACGAGGTAAGACACGGTTGTTGGAACGCCTACTCGAGAAAGAATGAACCTGCTTTTTAGAAAACCAATGTCGTAATGACCTATGGCACTCTCGACCCATGGACAGCTCTAGGCCCCATTGAATGCAAGGATTCTGAAAACTGCTTGATGATCGAAGGTGAATAGCGTTGTGAACTGTAGGTTCGGTCTGAAGAGAACTCGAGGTGTTTTCCAAATCTCTCGAAATAATCGAAAAACCCTTCCGCCTCCACCTTAAAATATAATTTGTGAAAGACGACTGAACTCAAAATTTTGGACAGAACTTTCGGGTCCGCAACAAGGATTGTATAAATTCTACGGCGCAGTCCTCGACAATAAATTGTCTTATTATTAGGGCACTTCCTCCGAAGCGATAAATTCCCCAGGCTCAGACAATATTTTTTAGGGATATTATGGGGCAGACAGAGCGCCGCACTTAGAGAATTACACACCTTACTCACTTATACAGTAGTGCTCTCTCTGCCATGAAAACTTAGTCATTAATTTCATAGGATTTTCCAAAATTCAGGTAAAAACCCATTCCAACAAAACCTATACCGTCGATGAAAACCTACAAACATTCGACAAATATTGAACATCAAGTCCACTCAATTTTGCTCAGTTCCTTTTGAACTCGATAGGTCTTGCGATTCGCACTCTGTCTCTTTCTGATAATCTGATGAGCAGGAGTCTATGGTTTTCCAACACAGATAGGCTGGGACATCTGCATTTGCGTACGATTTGTGAAGTTTGCCGTTCTTGTCAAGCAGAGACCTCTCCACTACAACTCAACTACTGCATTATTAGTTTTTGCACGAGTAGCAGTGAACCTTCTCGTGGGCGAAGGTTGAGCCCCTTTATGTGCATTGGTTCGAATCAAAAATTTTCAATAAAAGGGCTGAAAACAAAACACTGACCCATGGAAGACAAAGCAACGTTTAGGATGTCATTTTCTTAATCTTTAATCTTCATAATTCATTAGGACTCGCCCAATGACGATTAACCACTAAAAATTTTCTGAAATCCCAGATGCCAACCTATCTAGACTGATGATTGAACCTTGCTCAAACTTGTAACATTCACTATCGTCAAGCTCTAGTACAGTTAGTCTTCAAATAGTTTTTAATATGTGTTTTCATCGTTAACTCTTCGATTTTTTAGATTTCTGTTATTGCATGACCTTTAAATTTAGTCAAATTGTTAGTCATAACAATAATTTTCAAACAACTACTGGCTCATAACTGAAGAAATCAAAAAGAAATTCATAGTGGGATAAGGTCATTATGAAAGCGTAAACATTTTTTTAAAAGAAAATACTGTTAAGGAACTGCACATTGTGCTGAAATGTATCCTGCTCGAAAGGAAGACTTACCTGCGCTTACTGAAGCTCGTAATAAGATCGAGAACATCATCAAGGGATGGGTAGAGCAACGCAACAAAGCCAGCCAGGATCAGCGACCAGTCGAGAGGAACTCTAGAAAGAATTTCTTCTCCTTCTTCCATCGACAGTGACGATAGGAAGAACTCCGCTGGTAAGTCATAAACTTGTCGTTAAAATGACTATTTCTTCCTATTCGAGTGAAAAAAGCTAAATTTCAATTGAAAAGAACGTATTGCAAACCGATGATAATTAGGAGTTCAGTATGAATGTATTGTATCATAAATGGAAATATAAGTTTTGCAGGGTCTGTGGCGATCACTTCCTCGATTTCCTCGCTCACATCAATGGTATCCTTCCAAAAAGCACTTTTACTCTAGAAAGAATTGTTCCATTTCGTTTCGAACTGTTGTTTTGAGTTAGATGAAGATTGCCCAAACCATAACTCTGTCAAAGTGAAGTTGAATGGACTGGATACTAGAAATAAAGTGTATTACGAACTCAAGTCACAATTAAAAAACTAGTCACAACATCATATCCAGTTACTTTGTGCAGCAGTTGGTTCTTCTGAACGAAAGTATTGGGTCATCCAGGACGACATGTGGAATTATAAAAATTATCGTGATGTCTTCTAAGAAAAGTATAAGGTTCTTCAAGATGGCTTCTCAATTTTAAGACCCAGTTACCCGCCGCAAGCTCTGCT